CACAGGAAAGTCCGAGCCAAAGCTCTGCCTGAGCTGGAGACGAGCTGCGCGGATCCAGTCGATCAGCACCTCAGTGACATCACCCTTGCTGCGCAAGGGGAAGACTGTGGTGTAACGCGAGTAGTCGTCAACCACCAACAGGAAGTAGCGCTCGTGGCCAAGTCCACGGACGCGGGCAGGGCCCCACACGTCCATGTGAAGCGTCTGCAACGGAGCCTCTGTCGGAGGAAACTGGGAGGAGTGAGGGGCAGCACGCTGGCGCCCCTCGACACAGGGGACACAGGCAGGGCCAGGGCCCTGAGGAAGGGGAGGGAGGGACCGGGGGAGACAAGACACAAGAAGACGGGAGGCCATGCCTCTGAGCTGAAGCAGAGAGGGGTGACCCAGGCGGTGGTGCCAGAGGAGAGTCTCGTGAGACAGGAGAGGACACGAACAGGGGGCAGACTCAGGACCAGACCTGGACGCTGCAGCAAACACCTGACCTGACCTAGAGACCCTACCAGACGCAGGAACTGGAGGAGACGCAGTGGTCAGTGTGTACAGGCTCGACCCTGGCTGACGTGTAAACGTAGCCAGATGACGACCTGTGCTAGCCTCTGTGCAGTGCGTCACTCGCTGACGAGCAGGGGTGAACTGGTGGACTCCCGCATCCTGTAGGTCAGCACCACTCACCAAGTTCGTAGAGAACGAGGGGAGGTAGAGACCAGACAGGGTGCCAGAGGGAGCCGCCGGACACGGGAGGACTGTGGAGAAGCGAGACAGGACAGGACCCCCAGAGGGGTCAGCCAGGGACACCGCAACCGGCCGACTAAGCGGCGTAAGTGTGGTGCGGTCCCGAAAGAAGGAGCGAGACGCTCCAGAGTTAAGGGTGAAGGTGTGGGAGGCCGAAGCCGACGCACTACCTGAGAGCGCAGACTCACTAGTACCTGAGAGAGCAGCCTCACCAGTACCTGAGAGCACAGACGCACTGGCACCTAGAGCAGAAGCCTCACTGGCACCTAGAGCAGCAGTACCAATGCCCGGGTCGGGCGGGAAACACCGGTAATAGTTACCCTCATCACTAATGGTCACAGCATACATGGCAGCAAGGATAGCATCAAAGTCAAGATCAAAGATAGCTACACCAGCCCTAGACAGCTCTCCCCAGCGGGGGATCTCCGCGGCCTCTGGGAACTGCTGGCGCCAAGCGTCCGTCAGGCGGCCAAAGCAGCGCTGGGCGGTGTGGGCACCCCCACACTGCTCTCCAGCGCGGTCGCCAGTGCGAAGAACGTAGGTGCAGGGACCAAAACCCACACCACGCTGACGCTGCGTGTACCACTCACGGAGCTGCTGAGGGGTGGGGACGTCGCGAGAACGCTGCTGCTGCTGCTGCTGCTGGCGCTGACCACCCCCAGTGCTGCTCCGCTGCGAAGCGCCACTCCGACCACCTTCGCCACCGCCACCCCCGCCTCCGCCTCCACCCCCGCCTCCGCCTCCACCGCCGCCGCCTCCACCACCTCCGCTCCCACCGCCACCGCCGCCGCCACCCTCGCCTCCACTGCCGCCACTAGCACCCCCACCCCCGCCACCACCTCCACCGCCACCCCCACTCCCTCCGCCGCCTCTACCTCCACCTCCACCGCCCCTGCTAGCCCCACCCGCTCCCTTGCCCCCCTTGCCCTTGCCAGGGCGGCGTCTCCCACTAGGGGCAGACGCCGCACCGACCGACTCAAGACCAACGAGGTCGGCCGCAGCGGCAGAGGCGACAGAGGGCAAAAGAGGGGAAGGAGAACACCCCTGAAAGATGGGCGCGGGGGTCACCTCGAGAGGCTCCTACAGCGACCATGCTCTTCTCCGCCGCTAGGAGGGCCTTCTCGAGGCTGTCGATTGTGAGAGTGGTGGGACAGACCGCAAGGAAGTGGTCCCGGACTACACGAAGGGAGTCAGGGAGGCGGGTGACTAGAAAGTAGAGAGTGATGTACATGGGGGGGGGGGGTTCTTGGCGCAGAAGTCAGCAGGAAGCGCAGCGCGGTAGCGGGTGTCACTAGTGCGGAGGTGCGTAATGAGATCAGCGACAGTGGGAAAGGCGGCAAGGTCAGGGAAGAGGAAAGGGGGCATGAGGCGACTCAGTGCAGCAGTGGCAGGGGAGGAGTAGCGCGCAACTACAGCGTCGTACAAGGTTTGAGCACTCTTGTACTGACTAAAGTGCGCGCGCTCAGCGGTAGGCAGGTGGCGACGCACAGCAAGACGTGCAGCAGCGTCGCGTGTGGCCCACTGGGGGCGAACAGTTGGGTCGGCATCAGCAGCAGGGGCAGGGACGGCGCCAGAGGTGAGGTCAAAGAGAGAAAGACCGTCTGCCCTATCGCACTGTAAGAACAGCTGCAGGTCGTCTACCCAGACCTCAAAGTCAATGGCGCGACCCTCAGCGTCAAAGGCTAGGACACTAGGGCTAGCCATGACAGCAGGCGGCGATCTCACCAGACAGGGCGGGTCGGGCAGCTCAGGGGCGCAGTAACACGGCAACACTGCTGCTCAGCCGGCCCAGCAGCAACAGCAGCTCCGGTGGACCAGCGGCTCGGCTCCTCAGATGACCCGGGCGGCTCGGGCGGCTCGGGCGGCTCGGGTACTCAGCGGCTCGGGGACTCAGCGGCTCGGGCGGCTCTGGCGGCTCGGGCGGCAGGTTGTCACAGCGGCGTAAGGGCGGCGTGGGGCCGAGGCGGCGGCTGAAGCGTGCAGCCGAGTCGGCGGCGAGCGGTAGGGGCGGCGGCGTGAGCCGCAGGTAGGGCGGCGGTAGGCCGCAAGTAAGGGGGCGGGTGGGTCGCAGGTAAGGCGACGGGGCCGCTACGTGAGGGGGGGGGGGGCGGGGCCGCAACGTAAGGGCGGCGGGGCCGCGACGTAAGGGCGGCGGGGCCGCGACGTAAGGGCGGCGGGGCCGCGACGTAAGGGTGGCGGGACCGCGACGTAAGGGCGGGGGGGGCCGCTACGGAAGGGCGGCGGGGCCGCGACGTAAGGGCGGCGGGACCGCGACGTAAGGGTGGCGGGACCGTGACGCAAGGGTGGCGGGCCGCGACGTAAGGGCGGCGGGGCCGCGACGTAAGGGCGGCGGGGCCGCGAAGTAAGGGCGGCGGGGTCGCGTAGGTAAGGGCGGCGAGGCCGCGTCGTAAGGGCGGCGGGGCCGCGACGTAAGGGCGGGGCGGGGCCGCGACGTAAGGGCGGCGGGGCCACGACGCAAGGGCGGCGGGGCCGCGACGTAAGGGCGGCGGGGTCGCGTAGGTAAGGGCGGCGTAACGGGCCGCTAGGGGCGACACGAAGGGTCGCTAAAAAAAAGAACGCGCGCCTCGGGGCGCGCTTCGGTGGGCCCTATGAACAGTCCCTAGGAGGGGACCTGCTCTGATTCCATGAGAAGAAGTGAACGAGAATGAAATGACTATGAACGAAGTGAGTACAAATAGGAAACCCTAATTGGGTTGTACCCCCTATGGGATACCCCACTATAGCCTACACAAATAAGTGAGCTATAATGTTCTGACACACGATGCCAGCCAGTCCCCTCTCTCTTTATGTCTGAAGTGAACGTCGACGTTTCCTGACGAAACTTTGAGGGACGTTGAGGAATCCTGACGGTCGGAACGCTCAATCCGAGGGTTGAGATTCGCCACCATTCCCCGACGAAAATGTACATCCGTCGACATTTCACTTCAGGCACGCTCTTTGGGGGTGTTCGAAGTGAAGCGTCGACATCCGTGGACATCCGTTTGGGGATGTCGGTAAATCCTGACGGTTGGAACTGTCGATCCGAGGGATGACATCCGGCGACTTCTATTGACGTTTCACTTCGGACATGCCCTTAGTCAGATTATCGGTGCCGCCAACACCTCACTCTGAAACATCGCAGTGAGGGGGGAAACGTGGGCGACGCGGAAATGCAAGTACAAAAGGCGTAACAAAAACCTAATGTCATGGTACACCAAACTTAACTACCGTAACATCAGAGTAGAGAAAAATATTACTCTGGCGTGCCTGTGTTTTTTTTTTTTTTTTTTTAAGTATAGGGTTACTCTGACAAATCAGAGTAAGGCGCAGGAACAACCCTAGATTTCAGAGTTGGGAAAAAAACTACTCTGGAAATCAGAGTACCTAAAATCCAAGAATAGGCCCTGGTGTATGCTTTGGCGAGAGTTCGCAATTTCGTCTAGGCTTGTTTTTTTCGCGAGACCCAGCCAACCCTCAGTTTTCCCCCTGGTGAATGAATCTGTCTTCGTAAGTCCCAAATTGCAGGTGCGTGACTTTCAAAAGCTTGGACACTCAACTTCGTCAAGTTTTAAAAACTTGACCCTCGTGGTCCGCAATTTAGGACGCGGGCTTTAAATTCACATAACGTTTAAACATTCTCACATACCGTATATTTTGACTAGAAGTATGATTATGTATGCACAATTCTTAATGAACACATGCAAGCTGATATTGGTAACTATGTGTACACTCCTCAAGCACAAACACAAACACAGAAGCACACAGACGCACACACACAATCTCACACTCAAGAGTCGCTATTAGAATGGGGTGAGAAGGGAGAGAAGGGAGAAAAACAAAAGCGATAGGTGGGTGGAGGAGAGGTAGAACAAACTAGGCACAAAAGACAAATCTCATGGGAGTACTTTCTTGGTGGTATCAACTTCAACTGCAGACTTGAGCAACTGCCATTTTTACTTCAGAAAAAGCATCACTTCATATGGAGTACTGGGTTGCTTGCTTTGCTGGTCTCCATATAAGCATTCTACGACCATAGTGACTAGCGGACACACATGAAAGACAGCATGTCAGCTGATGTGAGTCTGTTGAGAGGCACACAAAGAAAGAAATGGGTAGATGCAGGGAAACGTGAGAGCACACATGAGAAGTGTGTGTGCATGAGACAGAGTTGCTTCTAGAATCAACAATGAGGTTCTTGACAGAGCAGGAATGGGACAAATGCATGGAAAGCATGAGATTGGGAGTAACGAACAGATGCAAAGACTTACGAGACACTTGCTGCAGCGATGCCGGAGAGTGAGAGGGCAGGCAGCTGAGCCACCTGCGTAACGCAGTTGGCAAAGCGATACGCGTTGACAAACTGGCAGTGCCCCGCCCCTCCCGGTGCCCGGTCCACCCGCCAGTATGACCGCACGTTGAGACCGATTGTCGAAGGCAGGTTGGTGCATCCGGAGTACCTCACGCGCAAGGTGTAGGTGGAGGGCGTCAAGGTAAACCCCGGCTGGTTGTAGAAGGTGAGACTCGCAGAGGAGACGGTTGGGAGGGCGCCTGAAAGACACATGGGGTATGGGTTCAGGCGGAACAGGTTCGTATGCACCATCGATAAATTAACCGGGCTAAACCTACATGCATCTTGACTATCCAAAAATGCTGAAGCATTAGATATCCTTGAATGCAGGCAGAATGGTCTCAAACCAGTGGCGGTCATGCGAAAGCCAGAAGGGCAGATGCAGTAAGGTGAGGTAAGGTTGGCTTTGAGGCGTCACACATGACCTACAACGTGACTGACTTGACGTGACTTATTCCACGTGACTTACCACGGACGCAACCAGTGGCGGTCATGCCAAAGCCAGCAGGGCAGACGCAGTAAGGAGCCTTTCTGGTGGAGGAGACCAGCGTGCATGTGGCCAGGGACGGGCAGTTGCCACACGTGGCCGGCCCTGGTGAGTGCAGGGTGGGGAAGCAGAGTGCAAAAGAAAAAATATGTGAGGGCGATAGAAGAGTGGGTAGAGTTGAAGGGGCCAGAAGGGCAGCCGCAGTAAGGAGCTTTTCTGGTGGACGAGACTAGAGTACGTGCGGCTAGGGACGAACAGCTGCCACATGTGGCAGGCTATGGTGAGTGCAGCAGGGTGGAGAAATGATGTGAAATCTGGAGTGCGGTGGGAGAGCAGGTAGAGTAGAAAGGAGAAGCTAGTGCTTGGACTGGGCTGGGCAGAAAGGGGAGAAGGGGACAGCAAGTTTTAGAATAAATGGCAGCATGCAACAAAGCATACGACAGCACAATGAGCACAATGCAAAGTGTGATAGAGAGGCATGTAACAGCACGGAAATATGGGGGAGCGGGGGGAGGGGGGAACATAAACTAGAGCAGGCAATCATAGTAGTGTGTGTGGGCAAAGATGCAAAGGAGGAAGCGAGGATGGAGTGAGAGGGGGTGCAGGGGAGATGGTGTGGAGGGGAGGGGAGGTGAGGTTGTAATCCATCCAAGGGTTCCAGAACAGAACTACATACCAACACAGGTGCCATAGAGCAGTGTGTAGCCTGGCTTGCACACACAGTACGCTGTGCCATCCTCATACTTCATACAATCCGACGTGAGCGCCTGGCACCTCTTAAGGATGCAATTTTCTGGAGGGGAGGGGGTTGCGGGGGAGAGGGTTCGGGGGGAATGAATGAGCGTGGGGCGAAGGAGAAAGCTAGGTGGAGGTCCTGAGAATGCAGCAGAGAGGACGCCGACATGCCGGCTTGAGGGAAGAAGGACGAGAAAGAGAGAGCATGAGAAGGGAGAAAGAAGAAGAGGACAAGAGAGAAAGGGCAGAGCACGGGCGAGAGAGGAAGAGGTAGAGGGAGCAGGAAAGAGGTAGAGGGAGCAAACATCAACACACAGCATCCTTACCCGTGCACGTCCTGCCATCACCCATGAGTGTGAAACCAACGTCACACACACAAGACGTGTTTTGAGTGGACTCAAAACACACTTTGAAATTGGCTCAGAACACACTCTTGAGTCGACTCCAAACAGATCAACACACAGCCTTCTTACCAGTGCATGTCCTGCCATCACCCATGAGCGTGAAACCAACGTCACACACACAAGACGCCATCCCTGCCTCGTCCTTCACACAGCGGCCGTTCTCACCACATGCTTGCAGTATGCACGTGTCTGCCAGGGGAGGGAGGAGCATGAGAACCATAAATGAAAAGGGTTAAGGAAAGGAAACGAAAACACACACTCACACACACACACACACACACACACACACACACACACGCAAATGAATCTGGAAGTGCACTGTATCAGTACAACACACAGGTTTAGGTAGCATAGCACACAACACAACAGCCTTAGGTGTACACGTTATGCCATCATTCTGCAGCACACACAGAGCGTCGACTCAGCAGATATATATAGACTCACATGGCCGCAAATCATCCAGCAGCAAATGACAGAAACATAGACAGCCGATGTTGGTCACGCCATAGTCCCACCCCAGTTGCAATGTTCTGAGTCGACTAGAAAAACCACGGACACATGCGGCACAAAACCACAGAAGTACAGTCGTCACACATTGCAAGCAGCACTGACCAACACAGCCGGCGTCGGTCACGGCGTAGCCCCAGTTGCAGTGGCACACGGCCAGATCCTGCTCCTTTTGAGGCGCCTCACAAATACAACATGGGATAAGTAGCACTGACCAACACAGCAGGGCACTGACCAACACAGCAGGGCACTGACCAACACAGCCGGCGTCGGTCATGGCATAACCCCAGTTGCAGTGGCAGACTGCGAGCTCCTGCTCCTTCTCACAGTACGCGTTCTCCCCACAGTCCCTTATCGCACACGAGTCTGTTGGGGACACAGCATGAGAGAAGGCACATACGGCTGGGGAGTAACAACCAAGTGAGGGCTTTTGGGGCACCTCAAACAAAAGTCGCTCCTGCTCCTTCTCACAGTACGCGTTCTCCCCACAGTACCGAGTGAGAATGCACGGGAGCAAGAGGAAGGGGAAAGAATGGAAGGAGTGTCCTCCCTGCCTGCCTGCATGCCCGAGAGGACTTTGAGTGGGACTTCGAAGGTCTTAACGAGGGGCAGCAACTGCAGGACTGCCTTCTAGCCAACAAGCATGGAAGGGAAGTGGAATGGTCGGAGTGCCCTCCCTGCCTGCCTGCATGCGTGCATGCCTGATAGGACTTTGAGTGCAAACTGGAAAGCTCATATCACGAGGCAACAATCGCACGGGTGTTATGCGTTGGAGAGGGGGATTCCGTCCTGTCACAAGAAGCAGCAGCAGACATGGGATGCAACGAGTGTGGGTGAAGGCGACGCGTGCAGGATGCTTTGGGAAGCAGCTTGAGGCCTCTTTCACACACGCAGTTGGCCCAGCCTGCCTCGTTCTTCAGACACCTTGCGTTGGGGCCGCAGTTGCGTACCGTGCACACATCTGCACTCAGACACGTGGGGCCAGGTACGTGGGGGCAGGTACGTGGGGGCAGGTACGTGGGGGCAGACACAGCAAAATCGAGTTTTGAGGCGCCTCAAAAGTTGGGGCTGCAGTTGCGAACCGTGGACAGGTCTGCACTCAGACACGTTGGGGCAGACACAGCACAATCGGCCAGAAACCATAACGCATGTGCCGAAGCTGTGAGGTGAAATGCAGATACCAAAATAACGCCATGATAAGCCTGCGGCGGAGTGGAGTGGAGCAATTCTGCATGCGAATCCAATCACTCCGACAGCACTAGCACCCACCAACGCAGTTGCCCTCGGCGTCCTTCTCTTGGCCCCGTGGGCAGCGGCGGTTGCTGGCAGCAGGTGGCAGGACGACGGGTGGAGCCCTGGGTGCAATCTCTGCGAGACATGATTGGGGGCAAGGGAGGCCAAGATGACTTTTGAGTCGACTCAAAGGTCGACGGCTGGAGCCCTGGGCGCATTCTCTGCGAGACACAATGGGGGGCAGGGAGTGCAGGTCAAGTTGGGAGCATGTATGTGCAGGGATGTGCAGGCATAGATGCACAGATATTTGAAATGTTAGCAGAAACGATGGGAGGCAGGGAGGCGGAGGTCAAGAGGGAATGGTGAGTGAGAGAGAGTGAGTGAGGGAGATGGGGAGAGAGAGGGAAAGAAAAGAAGCATGGCAGCGCAGAGCAGCCTTACCAGCGCACGACTTGCCATCATCTCGCAGGGTGAAGCCAGCGTCACACACACACGACGCCGCCCCCTCCTCGTCCTTAACGCACTGGCCGTTCTCATCGCACTCCAGGAGCACACACGTGTCTGTCAGGAGAGGGAGGAGCGGCGGGAGCAGAAAAACCGCAACAGCAACAGTGAATGCGAAGCACACATGGCAGCGGCAGCACATGACACATCAGCAGCAGTAACAGGTTGCCATCACAGCGTGACTCATCAGGACAACACGGGATAGCAAGCAGCACTGACCAACACAGCCGTCCGCGGTCTTGGTGAAGCCAGTGTTGCAGCGACAGGTGGTGCGCCCCCCCTCCTGCTCCTCCTCACAGTACCCGTTCTCCCCACAGTCCGCACTCGTGCACACCTCTGCCAGGTTCACACAGCAGCACCAGAGGGAGGACAGAAGAGTACGCACAGGAGATTAGGAGAAAAAAATTTTGTTGGAGTGGGAAAGTTTGAAACGAGAGGCAGCAATGGCACGTGTGTCAAGCATGCAAGGAAACAAGGGCGACATTCAGTCCTGTGCACTCACGCGCGCAGGACGCGTTAGGCAGCAGCTTGAAGCCTCTGTCCTGTCGCACACGCAGTACCTTTTGAGAAATCTCTAAGGTGAGGCACTCACGCGCACAGGAGGCGTTGGGCAGCAGCTTAAAGCCCCTGTCGCAGACGCAGTCCGCCCAGCCCGCCACGCTCTTGAGGCACCTCGCGTTGGCGCCGCAGCTGCGGTCCGTGCATGCCAGGCGCAGGGCTTCCGCCGCCCTGGGCGCACACGCTGGTTGAGAGAGCGGAGGGAAGGGGGAAGAGAGGGGGAGGGTTGGGGGGGGGGGGGGGGGGGGGGGGGTTTCGAGTCGAGTCAGAAGTCACACGCAGTCCGCCCAGCCTGCTTGGCTCTTGAGGCACCTCGCGTTGGCGCCGCAGCTGCGATCCGTGCATGCCAGGCGCAGGGCCTCCGCGGCCCTGGGCGTACACGCTGGGAGACACCGACCAGGGAAGACAGGGGAAAGGGGTCGGAAGGAGTGGTAAGGGGTGGAGGAGGTGGATGAGATGGTCAAGATGGAAGGGCGAGGAGAGCTGGCGATGTTAAGGCTTACGAGGAACTATGCAGACACTGTGTGCTTACATGCATGTTCGTGCAGCAATGTGTGCTATTCTGTGAATTTTCAGAAAAAAAAAAAAAAAAAAAAAAAAAAAAAAAAAAAAAAACGCAGATAGCTGTTCGCCAGGCCGGTGAGAGAATGAGCATACCTGAGAGTATGAGAGCAGCCAGCGCAGCAGCGAGCACAAGCCTGAGGCCAGAGCGTTGCATCGCAGCAACGTCGCACGCAGCCATGGCTGGTCTTTCTGGATTTTCGAAAGCGAGAACCCGCGAAAAAACGCAGCCCGGGGAGAGGTCCTTGAGGAGGTGCGTAACGGTTGAAATCGGTCAAGCAGGAAAGGGTGGAAAGGGGTGATTTGCGGACTGGAATGATGATGGGTTTAGTCCCATCGCTAAAATACTTCCACCGCCACGCTCAGTCCCGCCTCCTAGGCTGGCAGAGAGTACGCCGCTCAGCCCCAGATGCCTCCTAGGCTGCCGAATGCCGCGGTTGGAACTCCGCCCTTCCGCCCACCCTTTGCGGATGCCATAGTAGCGCTGCACGCAGTGACCAATGGCAGGCATCCCCGGGGCCCTTGCGAATCGGTTTTATCCAATGTTAGAGCAGCACGCGGCATGACGCAATCCAAACAGTTCAGACGTCAAGTTCACGCCGACCGTCAAGCTCCAAGAAACTTGGAAGGCGGCAGTTTCGGATTCCCCAAGAACATCACTTGGAATCTTAGCACTGTTCACGTTTCTGTAGCCGTCCTTGACGGCATTCGTGAACGATACTGTACTGTACTGTACTGTATTGGCGATACCGTCCTACCGCCGCGCGGAAGATATGCACTAGCCCGGCTTGAGCTTGAGCCATGACTCGTTGATGTGTACAATACCCAGGATGCTTCTATTCGATTATCGGAGGAACGCTAAGCATTCGTTTTGGGCTCAATTCTTCGGAAGGGAATAATCTGATGACGTGGCGCGCCCTCCCCGGCATTTGGACAAAACACAAGACTTCACCGGCCCGACCCAAACCTGTCGTGGCCTGTTTGACGTATCTGACGTGCGCTGAACAGTCGCCGACCTCCCGTAACCTAATAAACTGGCAGAAGTAGAAGCACCGGTCAAATACTTGACAGGTCGATCCCAACGACTCGTAGAATATTTTTTTGCATCCCGACGCACGCATTGGTGTTCATACGAAACTACGACTCAGAAGGACGGTCAATGAAATTTGACTCTTGCGACAAATTCGAGCTAACTGTTGGCAAGAGGCAAAAGTGGACAGTCATTAGCTGTCCAGGCGGAAGGGTCTCGGTGATGTTCTATTGCGCCAATACGTTGCTGTCTTTTATCACCGTACGATAATCGCGCAGCAGGAAGCTGAACACAAGCACTGTACATCGGGCACAACCTCCCCAAAAGACGGCAGGTTTGCATTAGTACGGTTCGGTACAATGCAAACCTGTACTAATGTTCTTGTACTGGAAGGTGGTTGATTTGGAGTGACGACCAACCTTCGAGCTGCTGTTGGATTCGCACTCAGCAAGGAAAGAAAGGAACACGAATGAAAAAATGGAAGACGAACGGAAGACGAATGGAAACGAATCTGTGCCACACATCTGCAAGTTTATAGACCAATCATAGCTACGTCGGGTCACTCTAATTATGTGGTTTCGATCAATCCAACGGATATCGGAAGCCCAACGCCCAATGGGTGCCGCCGCACATCTCAGCAATCTAGAAGCTGCTTCAATGTTGAGGGTCGTCCTGCGATGCGAGTATTCCCGCTTGTGTTTTGACACAAAAACAGTCGCAAGCCAATCGGGGTTGCCGAAAACGAGACGATGAAACCAAAGCGACCTGAAACTCCAGTTATGGTGCTAGGAGCTCTGTTGTTTCGCCAATCACTCTTGTTGCCGTATCTCGCAGAATGGTAACGGCTAGCGACGATTCGTGCCTTCTTGGAAGGAATTTTCTCGGCATTCCTTACGGAGCCGACTACATCGCGTACAGCAACAGCCGATTGTTCGCCCGTTACTGCTAACGGAACTTCGCCGACTTCGCGCGCACCGTTTTGCCAAACCTCGCACAGCTGGCATGGCCGTATCGGCCTACGCTTCGGGACTAGCCCGAGCCTCGCTCCAGCATAGCATTAGCAAGCTCGCACGCACCGCGTTACCGTTTTGCATGTTTCGCGTATAAATAATCGCTCATGCCTTCGCTCACATTTTGTACTCGTTTGACACCTTAGTGCAATTCTCGCTACTTCGATTCATTGCACCCGTAACACTTGGTTATCAGAGCCCCTTTCTTTCGGACCGCGCTGTGAAACTATGAGCAGAGGAATGAATTGACTAAGTCAGAGTTGGGTACAAATACAACCCTAGCAAACTGTACCCCATATGTGCTACCCCACTATAGCCTACAAACATGCATCAGCTATAATAATCTGACACACCCCCATAGGCAAAGTGGGGGAGAACAAGGGGTCACAAGACCAGTCAAGCAAAGCAAAACAAGCTCAGGGTGGATCACAAAGTCACCACACAGTCCGAGCACAAGAGCAAGGCCAGAGGCCAGTTCACATGCAGGAGTAAAGACAAATATATAAAACTAGACAAGCAAGAGCAGGTATATATATGTCAAAGTACAAGTAAAGTCAAGAAGAGAGCAAGTGAGGCAAGACAGGTACAAGACCCAGCTGGGTACAAAAGCGCTGATGGTCGCAAGGCGCAAGTGCCTTGGTGAACACATCAGCAGTGTTGGCCTCAGAGGCCACGTAAGCAAGTCGCAACTGACCACGCTGCTGCAGCTCACGAGCAAGGAAGTAGCGGAGAGCAATGTGCTTCGTTCTGTGCTCCAAGCGCTGCTCTCGACACAAGGCCAACATGGCCTTGTTGTCTACGTACAGCACTGGAGGAGAACGAGGCAGCTCTCCAAGGTCAGTCAGCAGGTAGGTGAGCCAGCGAAGCTCCTGTGCAGCCATGGCCCCGGCGTAGATCTCAGCCTCACAACTGGAGCCGAGAACCGAAGACGAGCGAGTAGACCGCCACGAGACAGAGCCGGAACCAAGGCTGAAGGTGTAACCCTGTGACGACCGCTGCGTAGCCTGGTCGTCAGCCCAAGAAGCGTCTGCGTGCCCAGTAAGGACCACTGGACTCCGCCCTCCAAGCACTAGCCCCATGCCCGACGTACTGCACAGGTAGCGCAATACCCTCTTCGCTGCAGCCATGTGCTCTGGTCGGTGTCTCCCAGGAGCAACATAGCGTGCAAGGATGCTCAGAGGGTATGCAAGGTCAGGTCGAGTGCAGGTCATCAGGTACATGAGGCAGCCAACAAGCTCTGCATACGGACCACTCGACTCTACGGACTCATCCGAAGGCAGAGCTGAGAGTGAGTGGCGAGTAGGCAGAGGAGTGGCCTGAGGCGAGGAGTACGTGAAGCCGAAGCGCTGAAGGACCTGCTGCACCATGTGTGACTGAGTCAGGGTAATGGTGCGGCGTGCTCTGTCCCGAGTGATCTGCAAGCCAAGGTAGCTGCGCAGTTCACCCAGGTCTGTGCACGTGTGTCTCTTCAGCAGCTCGGACTTCACGTAGGCGAGTCCAGCAGTGTCCGCTGTGGCAAAGACCAAGTCGTCGACGTACACGAGGATGTAGAACGGCGGCAGGGAAGTGTCGGTGCGAAGAAACAGCGACGGGTCAGCAGTAGAAGGAGCAAACCCAAGAGCCGCAAGCGTAGTCCTCAGTGTGTCGTGCCACTCACGCGGTGCCTGGCGGAGACCGTAGACTGGCCGTCGGAGGCTCCACTGGGTGCCAGGAGGGAAAGTCCCAGTGAAGCCAGGCGGACGGCGCAGCCAGATCTCCTCGTGCAGGCTACCCTGCAGGAACGCAGTGCTGAAGTCGAGAGAGTGAAGCTCGTAGTCGCGCTGAGCGGCAATGTGCAGCAGCACCCGAAGAGTGGTCATCTTCGGGGTGGGAGAGAAGGTCTGAAAGTAGTCAACTCCCTGCCGCTGACTGAAGCCACGAGCCACGTAACGCGCCTTGAAGACAGGCGGCGAGCCCGGCGGCCGCTTCACCCTGAAGATCCACATGCCACTGACGATGTTCGCCCCAGGAGGGGGAACCGCGTCAACGTAGGTGCCTGTGGACTTCCAGGAAGCCATCTCTGCATCCATAGCTGCCTGCCACTGAGAGGAGTAGGGACCCTCTACGGCCTCCGCGTAAGAACGTGGAGTCGGGATGTCTAGTGCATCCGGGTCTCCCTCAGGGGCTAGCAGTACAGACGCGAGACGAGGTGAAGCAGCGGCTAGACACTGGAACTCCTCCTGCCTGTCCTCTAGGACGTCCGTGCCAAGGGCACACTCACCCCCGACGGACGGAGGACAGGCGGACTCAGACTCAGCGACAAGACGAGCAGCGTAGTCTAGACGACAGCGCGCAGCAAAGTCGACAAGCTCAGTGACAAGGGCAGACGCAGCAGACGACTCGAAGGAAGGGTCAGTGACAGCAGTAGCAAGGAGACGCGTGACAGTAGGACTGGCAGCACGAAGAGAGTCCGACTCCGGGTCGGCAAGAGCAGGAAGAGAGGAAGCAGGAGGAGAAGGCAAAGGGGCACGCAGAGGAGCAGTGGACGGACGCAGTGACATCCGGTGCGTGCCAGGGACAGGAGGAGGACGCTGACGCGACCCGCGACCACTAGCGCGCTCAGTACGAACAGGCGACGCAGGACGAGACGCAGGCTCACGACGCTCAGTAAGACCTCCAGTCGGACCAGCGTAGGGAGAAGGAGCAGGCAAAGGGGAGGCAGGCTGTAGCTGTGGCTGTGACCGGACAGGCTGCGGACCCTCTAAGGAAGGAGGAGGAGGTGTAAGACCAAGAACCTGCTGCAGGAGCGGAACGAAGTACGGTCGAGGCCGCGCGGCGACGCCAGAAACAGCAGGAACAGCACCAGCACCCCCGGCAGGAGCACCCACTCCAGCAGCACCTCCAGCAGAACCACCAGGAGCTCCAGAACCTCCAGCAGCAGCACCAGGAGCACCGTCAGGCGGACCACCAACCGCAGGCTCAGCGCCAACGTCCTCAGCAGGACCAGCTCCAGGAGAACACTCAGACCCAGCAGCTCCAGCACCCACAGGACGAGCACCGCCAGGTCGCGTGGCAGCAGCGCCCTCTGCAGCCGAAGAACCACCAGCACCAGCGGCACGCCTCCAGCGCCGGGCAAACCACTCACGCAGCTCCTGTGGAGAG